AAGGTAAAGATGATTATAATGCTTTTAGATCGCGACACTGAGTTTATTAAAATCATATAGGCTGACTACTTCTACTAGGATTCCGAATTGAAATTACTCTTTATTAGAACAAAAAATAATGAGGGCATCATAAAACTCTTTCATTTTCAGGGGCCCAATAGAATTAGGTAATTACAAGTGTCATCTTTAAATTCTTTCATTTTCAGTTAACAGCTACCGTTTGGAATTTGCTCTCTCCGGTTCACACCACAAGAGGAAGATAGGACCATCCTATGAATGTTGTGCTTTTAAAGGGTTTGTTGTAAGTTCTTTTATCGTTGTATTTGATGTGATATTAATTTTTATATTTTATTTATCTTTTGTCTTATTGTTTATATGTTAATATAATAACAAAATGAAAATAATGATTATAACTATCAAAACATACGAAGCTAACTTTTTTAATTTTGAAGTGATATAGGGGTGTTTGGTTATCAAGAATATTGGAAAAATCCCAGAAAATCAAAAGATGATTTCAAATTTGCATATAAGTAGAAAAACATAAAAAACTATATTACATAATGTTTATTAACTTAAATCAAAGCATTACAAATAAATTTGATTTCATGATTTGTACATAGAGGAAATAAATTAGGAAATAAACTATATTAGTACTGAATTTTACAAAATACTTCAAATAACATTTGAATAATGCCTTCATCTATCAGAGATTTGACAGTTCCAGGTGAAACTGCTGTCCATGTGACCATCAGAAACAAGAGTTTTAGAACTTTTAAAGTATTACTTGGATGGACTCTACACTTCGACAAAGAACGGATCCTAAGGTGGGAGGACGAAGGTGGTAATAATGCTTTGATTGCTTTGATTTAAGTCAATTAATATTATATAATATGTTTTTATGATTTTCTACTTATACGCAAATTTGAAATCATCTTTTTAGTTTTTGGGATTTCTACGATATTCCTGAGAACCAAACACCCCCATAAATCACTTCAAAATTAAAAAAAGTTATCTTAGATCTTTTGATAGTTATAATCATTATTTTCATTTTGTTATGATATTGACATATAAACAATAAGACCAAAGATAAATAATATAAAAATATCACATCAAATACAATGATAAAAGAACCTACAACAAACCCTTTAAAAGCACAACATTTATGGGATGGTCCTATCTTCCTCTTGTAGTGTGAAGTGTGAAGCGGAGAGAGCAAATTCCAAACGCTAGCTCTTAACTGAAAATGAAAGAATTTAAAGATGGCACTTGTAATCACCTACTTCTATTGGGACCTTGAAAATGAAAGAATTTTGAAGATGCTTAGTATTTATCATTCTATTAAAGAGTAATTTCAATTCAGAATCCTTGAACCGGTGCAGGGCCGAGCGCCCTATCCCAGTCCTGTGTCTTTGCCCAATTCCCGTGTCACTACCCACGAAGTTATTGTCGGGTAATGTGGGACGGCCGCTAAAGCCACTCAAGTTATGATGGAGCTGTGTGGACTTTTATTATATGCTTTTACACTGGTAATGAAGTCGATGTCAAGCTCATGACATCAGATAGAAGACTTTCTCTTCGAGCGAGAAACTAAGTGAGGTTTCACCATATCTAATTTTCCCTATAAATATATGACAAATGGTTTTATATGTTACTCATTATTGCGCTAAAATTGCTATTTGACTTCTATAACCGAAGCAAAATTGTAAATTAGACCCTTAGGGCATGAATGAGAGCTTTGTTTTAAAACTCAGATCGGACTGGCCAGTTCGATCGTCTGACCGGGACTAGAACCTTATTCGTTTCGAGTACATCCTAAACCTAGTTATAGCAGTTGGATTAAATTGACCCAAGGTTGAACCAGTGGAATAGTGCCGAATCGTCGGTCGGACGATTGGATTGGGTGGTTGAATTGGTAACGTCAACATGGCATAATAAAATTTAAAAAATCTAATAAATCTCCAAAGTAATTCTATTCAAATCCAAAATCTAAATAACAATATAACATAAATAAAATAAATCCAAAATCCAAATTTAAAGATGAAATGATAATTAAAATAAATTCAAAATCCAATTCAAATCTAAATAACAATATAACAATATTGTACATGAAACTATAAACATTAAAATTGAAATTAACAAACTTTGACATTAATAACATTATACTTGAAATTTTTAACATCAAACTTGATACTCTTAATATGTAAGTTATACCAAATTAAATTTTAAAAATATATTTTTTTATTCTAAAAAATTAAAATAATTTAAGTATTAATTTAAAATATTTTTTATTAAAATTTTTGGGACAACCAGTTATAAGCAAAATTTGATTTTGCGTAAGGTAGCAAAATCCCAACATGTCATTAGAAACCTTTGACACGATATTGGAATGCATTAATAGTTCTTGAAACTAAAGATAACATAAAGAGTAAACGACGTATTCCCACGCAAGGTTTGACGAAATCCTAAGTTGGTATCCCAGGTTACATTTATTCTAGATTTCCACCCTTAAAATAACAGTGTTAGCAATTTTTAGGGTTTAGATGGTGCAATTACCATAATGCCCTTAACTCTATATTAATAAATTATGTTTTAACCCCTAAATTAATAGAATTATAAAACTTACCATTTTATTTTCAAATTATGTCAAAAACACCCTCAGTCACTACACACCCTCTCGGAAACAGGATCGGGTTGTTTTCGATGGCGTCGAACACCCTAGTCACCTCCATCACCTTCCCCGTAGTCCATCATCCAAAACCCCTCTGGTTCCCGACTCATTGGCCCTTCCAATCGCTAGCACTGTTAGGCTTAGGGTTTCAGTGTTCTTTGTTGGATTCTGATTGATTCCGACCGCGAAAATCCAATTGGACACCATCACTACATCCGTCGTCTCCAAATCTATAAAACCCTTATGTCCCTAGCAACTATTTCGTCGTCGTTCACCGGCCAAGGGTTCGTGTTCATCGACCTTTTTTGGTGAAGTGATGGACGATAAACGGTGAGCTACCGTGGCTGGGAAGGTTAGGGATTTGATAGGAGAGGATGCTAGGAGTCCAATGGTGGTGGTGGTTGGGGTTGTCGCTGTTCAAAACAGTTGAAAACGGGAAGAAAAAAAACCAGTCTCATGTCGCGGTTGTCGTGGCTGACGACTAGCGAGTGATGAGGGGTTGTGAAGGGTATGGTTTTGTAGAGGGGAGGATGGGGGTTCAAATGGTGGTGACAAGGGTGATTTTGGGTGGATGAATCGCCAAAAAAAGGGCAAAAAAAATCAGGGACGCCATCTGCTAACGTGCACTGAAGGACTATTAAAGGCAATGGTCTGCTAACACGTGCCGCCCACGTAAAATGACCAATTTACCTCTTTACTGTTACATCAAACATTTTTTCATCACTTTAAGGGTGAAAATCTAGAATAAATGTAGCATAGGTTATCAATTTAGGATTTCGTCAAACTTGCGTGGGAATATGTCGTTTACTCTAACGAAATTAAATATATAACATAAAACTCGAGTATTCTAACATCAAATTTGAAACTATAAGAACTTGATACAAGAGACATTTAAATTGAAACAACTAACATGTTACTTGAAACATTTAACATAATGAAAATCTGAAAAGATAGATTGATATTATTAACATCAAATGTGAATTTTTTTACATTACACTTGAAATGAAAAGAGTTTGACTCTAAAAACTAGAAATTCAAAGCTTAAAACATTGCACTTGAAACTTTTACAAAATTATTAACGCAAAATTTAATTTATTATTAATAAAATCATTTTCTTCATCTCAAAAAATTAAACCTAAAATTAATTTTAAATTTATTATTTTGAATAAAAATTTAATTGAAAAAGAAACTAACCTATATGAAATCTTGAATATATTACTTAACATACGCAACATAAAACATGAAATTATCAAAACGTGAAACTGAAGGCCTGATATTTTCTAAAATCATTATCTGCTTGCTCCCTCTGAAAATTTCCTGTATTTACCAGCACTTGGCTTCTGTAGGATGAAGGATGAAATTTTTTGGTGGGATGGATTGGAATAATTCATCAATAAGAATCTTTGCCTTTTCATTTTCTTTAAATTATAAGTTTATAACTTGTCCTTTTCTCATGAAAAATAAAGGTCGTGAAGCTGATGATTATATACATGGGAGTAAATATAAAGAACCGTCAAGGTTTGACAGCTTTAGACATCTACGATCGCATGGATCGGCCGAATCTAGAGGTTGGGAAAAGTCTATTTGGTTCTAAGGCTAAAAGAGCTTCTCCACTCCATCATGTTCCTAATCCTGATCATAACTTGAGTAGCAACTTCTACCTCAAAGGAAAAACCACTTCTTGGACTTTTCACTTTTCACTGTCACTTATTGCGAAATCCATCTTTGGCAATAAGATGAAAAGGAAAAAGAAAAAAAAAGAAAAAAAGAACATTCCTAAGAGAACTACAACAAAAATGGTCTACGGTAATACTGGACAGTAACAATTTTCCTTAAAGTGTTACTGTAGACTATCTATAGTAACATATTGCTGTTAAAATGTTACAATAACTATTTTTATATGTAACACTTTAACTTTTTGTAACACATTTTATATCAATGATAACTCTTTTTTGAAAAATATTATTAATACTGGAACTACAGTAACATTTTTAAAGTGTTACAATAGACGTAGTAATATAGTAGCTTTTTTATAATGTTACCATATAATCAAAATACAGTAACATTTTATAAGTGTTACCATAAACCCAATTATTTAACAAGAAACAAAATATCATTCCCGCCAACATGAAATGAGGTTGATTTTGTCTCATTTTTATTGTTTAGGGGTCAATTTATTATTTGGGTTTATTTTGTCACTTTACAACACCCAAATATTAACGGGGAAAATAACACTTTAATACCGCCAACCCAAAATCCTTAATTAAACAAAATTGTTTTAACCCTTAAAATTAAAAAAAGTTAGAAAAATTCTCCATTGCATCGTCACTGATCTGATACACAAAATTTCCAAAAGTAATTTTATGCTAAGGCAACGTAAATTTCTCTCCACTTCTCCACTCCGTTCGCCTCTTCTTCTCCATTTGTTTGCCTGAAATCTGGACTTCTGCACTCCGTTCGCCTCTTCTTCTCCATTTTAGCTTGAAATATGTACTTCTCCACTCCGTTCGCCTCTTTTTCTCCATTTGACGCCTGAAATCTAGACTTCTCCACTGCGTTCGCCTCTTCTTCTCCATTGTACGCCTGAAATCTAGACTTCACAACTCCGTTCCCCTCTTCTTCTCCATAGTATTACTACTTGCTTTCACAATGAAGTCAAGAGAGCTTTGAAGAAAAGCACTTAATTGGTAAACATTCACAATCACTTTCTTTCAATTTCCTTGTTAACATTGTTGTGAAACCTAAAGACCGTGATTAAATTTATTATTCACAATTGTTTTTTATTCTTTTTTTGCTTGCATTTGTCTAGGGTTTCTGGGTTTTTCTTGAATTGTATTGTGAAAACTGGAATTGTATTGTAGTGGGTTTTTCTTGGCTAGTGATTATCATGAGGACCTTATACTTGATAAATAATAGCTGTAATTTGTCTTGCAATTCTAGGAATCCTTCATTCACTTGATTCGTGGAATGAAGCTTTGAATGGGGTGACTGCTATTGTTCAATTTCGTATTAACCCTTCAATAGAGAGGAATTCTAGGAAACCTTCTTTCACCGGATTCATGGGAATGCAAATATCAATGCAATTAGTGCCGCTTCAGAAAAAGGTATAAATATATAGTTGTTTACACGTATTAACACTTATTTAAATCTTGAATTTTTCTCAAAGACTGGGTTTTTCGAGGGCTTTTTTCTTGGCTATTAATTCAGTAATTTGACTTTTTTTTTTTTTTTAATTTATCTCTGTGGGGGTTTTAGGTGAAACCTGTGTTGGATGAAGAGAAATCCAAGGCTATCGGCGTAGTCTTTAATAATGGGCGTGTGAAGAAGCGACCTGCAAAATTAGCGAAAGTGAGTTTCAAAATTTCTTGGGCAAGACTTATTTCACAGTATTCGCAGGTGCTTTTCTTTGTTTTCTTGATCTATGGTATGTTTGGTCATTTGTGTAAAGATTAAAAACAAGACTAAAAGGTATTCGTAGACATATTCAACATATTAATTCGTCTTCTTTTTTAGTCTGAAATAACCATTGTTACTCTTGTAAATTCAACTGGAAATGGAAGGTTCTTTGACTGAATTTTTTTGATGTTGGCTCTACATATGGTGGGTTTGTTGGTAATTGCTAATAAGAGGTTGCTAATTGCATACAAGTGAGGGATAGTGTTCCAGTGGCAACTTGGCCAGCGTTTATGTTCTTAAAGAAAAAGAAGGCTAGTAAAGTTGTGGTATTTGTTAGAAAAGTAGCTGAAATGATTGTTTCTTTAGGACTTTTAATGTGCTCTTTAGTGAGGCCTCCTACGTTTGGATCAGGTTTCAATTTGCATAATTGGTAAAATTCTTATTAAACAATTCAAGTGCCATATAGTGAGTTTGTGACCTATCTATTTCTTTTATCTTTTTTTATTGGTAATGTTTGCATGTCAATTTTTAAGGAGTATATTGAATATTTGTAAATTGCTTCGTCATGTCAATGAGTGAGGATTGCTAATGTTTAAGACAAATTCAGATGTTATCTGTTTTTCTTATCAATCATATATTGTTTCTAGTCCTTTGAAGTATTGCGTTCATTACAGAATCGTCACATGAACATGCGTGGTGCTGTTTTTACTGTTGAAAGTTCTTGAGAATGGGTATAAGATGAAGGTATAGTAGACTTCTTTTCTGTGCTTGTGCCTTGAGTGACTTCTTTTATATTAAGTCATTNAAAGAAGGCCAGTAAAGTTGTGGAATTTGTCAGAAAAGTAGCTGAAATGATTGTTTCTTTAGGACTTTTAATGTGCTCTTTAGTGAGGCCTCTTGCGTTTGGATCAGGTTTCAGTTTGCATAATTGGTAAAATTCTTATTAAACACTTCAGGTGCCATTTAGTGAGTTTGTGACCTGTCTATTTCTTGTATCTTGTTTTATTGGTAATGTTTGCATGTCAATTTTTAAGGAGTATATTGAATATTTGTAAATTGCTTCGTCATGTCAATGAGTGAGGATTGTTGATGTTTAAGACAAATCCAAATGTTATCTGTTTTTCTTATCAATCATTTATTATTTCTAGTTCTTTGAAGTATTGCGTTCATTGCAGAATCATCACATGAACATGCGTGGTGTTGTTTTTACTATTGAAAGTTCTTGAGAATGGGTATAAGATGAAGGTATAGTAGACTTCTTTTCTGTGCTTGTGCCTTGAGTGACTTCTTTTATATTAAGTCATTAAACGATAATTTTAGCAATGCATCACTTTTTAAAACCTACTGCTAGAAGTGTTTGGATCTGTCAGGGAAATCTGATCATTTGGCTGTCTCCTTGATAGCATTGCTAGTAAACTATTTTCTTTTTTATCATATCTATGACCACATAGGTTTTAATCCTTATTTTCAGTTTAGATTGCTTAAATGTTCATATATTTAGAATGATAGATGACTGCTATATTGTTTTTATCTTATAACTCTGAAACTAATTACCAATGATGAATTATTGGTTAGTAAATGCAGCAAACAAGATTTTCCAGCCTCCATACACTATCAGCAATGGGTACGAATCACACCCACCTCTCTGTCTCGAATTAAGCCAGCCCCAGCCTAAAAAAAATGAGATGCTACCAAAATCAATGCAACTGGGGTAAACTTTTTTCCTTGATACACATGTAAGTTATATATAATTTATGTTTAATAAGTTTATTAATTTAATTCAACCTTGTACATTTTTTTTCAATATCTGCAACAGACTGCAGCTGCATTAACAAAAAGTTGACAACTAGGGAAGCACATCACTCCTTACTCTATCAATAACTTGCCCCACAGTTCAAAAGTCAAGCTTGATCAGTAAGCTTCTGCTACTAAATACAAGTAAAATTAAGCTGCAGGATCAATAGATTTAGCATGCAATATTGTATGAAACAACCTCTATATTACTGTAGAACAATCTGCCATGGTAGTTTGCAAACTGCAGTTTGCAATTTTGCAGTTGGCATTTTTGCAAACTACAATCTGCATTTTGCAAACTGTAGTACGCAAATAGCAGACTGCCGTTTGCAGTCTATAAAATTGCAGTTGGCATTTTTGCACTAGTGATTGTGAAGTTGAATATTTAAACATGTTCTTTTAAACCTGCATGGTGCCATTTTTTAGAACTAGTGATTGTGAAGATGAAGATTTAATCATGTTCTTTTCCTCTTTCGTTTGCATTTAATATTTGGGGCGCTTTTGTCTTAATCTTTTCTTGAATTTACAATATATATGTGTTGTCATCTTTGAGAATATACATGGGAATTGAAGATTTTTTTGTATTAATGGTTTTGTAGGTTGTGAAAATGCAAGAGTACTTTTTCGGTAAAGCACAATTTGGAATGGAAGATGGTATGCATGATGGTTTTTGTTGTTAGAATTTTTTTGAATGATTGGAAGGTATTAACTATTGCTCATAGTTAATTTTCCAATCATCTAGGTGTTATAATGTAAAAATGATAGGTGCATATTTGTTAGGCATATATAAAACTTTTTGTATATGAAGGTTTATATGTTACAAAATGTGATATGATATATGAAGCATATTAGATTTCATGGATGTAAAGGATGTTGGGTGCCTATTATTAGGCATATGTGCAAACTTTTTGTATATGAAGGTTCACCATCAATGAAATTTAATTTGGAAAATTAGTGTATCATTATTTATAATTTGTATTATTTAAATAACAAGTATAACAGTTTTATATATGCTATAACAGACACATTGATACCACTTTCAAAATGTTATGGAAAAATAATTTTGTAACATTTACTAAATGCAATGAATGATACTTTGGTAGCACTTTTAACATGTTATTAAAATCTCTTCTGTAGCATTTTAACAATGTTACAGAAAACTAAACTGTAACAGGTTAAGAATGTTACAAAATACTTATTTATAACATTTTGAGATATTGCAGAAAACTACACTGTAACAGGTTAAGAAAGTTACAAAACACTTATTTATAGCATTTTGAGAATGTTACAGAAAACTAAACCGTAACAGGTTAAGAATGTTACAGAAAACTTATTTATAGCTTTTTAAGAATGTTACAAAAAATTAAACTGTAACAGGTTAAGAATATTATAGAAAACTTATTTATAGCATTTATGCAGTGTTACCAAAAATCATTTGTAACTATGAATAAGTGCTACAATATACTTAACAATAGCATTTTATGACAGTTACTGAAATGATTAGTAACATACAAAAAGTGTTACCAATATCTACTTTTTAGTAACACGGGTTGTCATAGCATCCTTATAAATGCTACGAATTACCTACGGTAACACTTTTTGCATGTTACCGTAGGCCATTTTTGTTGTAGTGCCACTTAATTTTTTATTGATGTTGTAGTTCGGCATCTTTAAAAAATTGTCTAACAAATAGTGTGGAATTCGTTGCCTAACCATTGTTCACAATTATGATTCTTCAAAGTCTGCTATGGTTGATAACTTCACCATCAAACCATCAATTTGGCTATAGAATGATAATAGAGCGGTTACCGATCCACAGTTTATCCATAAGGTATCATTGAGATATACATTCCATTGTTGAACCATTATTAGGATGTGATTGGTAACGTTTATAAATTGTTATAACTTTTTTAGGAACACTGCGAAACCATGGATTTGATAGGAATTTGGATACATTGATACAATCCCATCTGTTCCTATATTGGTCACTTTAGGAATATTTCATTGGCGCAAGTCCAAAGGAAAGGATAGTAAATATTTTGTTAGACCTACAACTTTGAAAACAATATAAGAACGTCAAGTTGATTAGACCTTCTAATGCCAATGCAATGCACACATACTGACAAAAAGAGTAAAAAATCGTCATCCATAATTGGGCGGCATGATTTGCTTGGCAACTTGTTTGTTGTAATTCATTGCATAAGATATCACGATCCAGAAAACACACCTTTGATATATTGCCTCAGTATTAATAAATACATAGATGATTCAGACACATATAGTTGAATACATCAAAATCACAGTATATTGACTACAACTAACAAATCTTTACTTCATCAAACGCCAAACCGCAAATGTTCATGCAGGCATGATAACTTGCACAATAACAACCATCACAATCTAGCAACACCGAACCCGGAATAACCAAATCTCTAAATCACCATCACCATCATGCTGCAATACCAACCATGACACTCAGACAACACGAAACGTTGACATCCACAATGACTAAACCTGATACAATAACATTCTATTCATAAATCACAAAAAAGAACCTCAGCTACTATCGGATTTTGCCACCCTGTGACGACAGTGCACAGAGCATCACAATTCGATGATAGTTGAGAACTGATTGTGTAACCTGAGAATAGAGCTAGCAAAAACAACACTCACACGATTCTTGTTAACATAAACAAATCCACAAATGTTTCATGTAGCCTAGTCCCAAAACAAATGGTTACATATCGGCCGAAACAAACACATAGCATGGCTGAAAAAAACAATGCTTAATCTTTAGACAAAGTATAGACCATGAACATTTAATGTTACTTAGTGTCAATAATACAGGAAAAACTAATTGCCCGTCACATGAACATACCAACAACAAATACTCACAATTAGGCCAAAATTGTAAGTTGAAAAATAAAATCAGCAAACATCAGTGAGCATATAATTCATGCTAATCGATTGCAACCACAGACATACCAAATCAATGAACTTACCGAAGACTTAATAAACACAACTTTGTACGAAACATGCTGGACATTGTATAAACACGTCAACTTTTTTTCCCTGCAACCTGTAAAATGAAATCAACAAAATCAATGAATTCACATTTTATATTGATCGGTCGGCAGAAGAAATGCACCGAATCAATGACTCTACTGAAAAAATAATAAACACAAATCCTCATTTCCCTGAAAACAAACATAACAAAATGTAATCGATCTTCATGTTAACATTGTTAAGGAACAATTATCCGTCCGTATAAAAACTGGTACATAAAAAATGGAAACAACAAAAGTTAGTTAATAGTCATGTTAAAAATATCAAGAAACACACTTACCGTTCAGAAGGAATAACACAATCAATCATTCAAATAAATTGGCTGAACAAAAACAATCATTCAATCTAATGAAAAACATTAAAATAGTTGGGAGACATACTTATGGTTTCGCATTAAAATACTTAGAACATATACTTTCAGTTCAGAAGAACAAATCAAAATAACAACTCATCTGACATTATCAATCCGACATCCTGCCTTTATTCTATGCTAATTCATGAATCTCCGGCCTGTAATCAACAACCAAAACATACATAAATAAAAACCATCGATCAATATGAACGTGAAGAACAGACATATTATTCTCACAAACTAAAATAACATATAAACAATTAACAAAAGACCAGACGTATCATTGACGCCAACTAACAAATTGCGATGATACACAACTAAACATGAGCCCCTTTTATAACCCCTTATTTAGACCTTCCGAATACCAACACAATTAAATACGATTTCAATACGAAAAAAGTTTTCCAATATCAATACAGTACACCTACATAATTATAGATAGCACTCCTAGACAAATGCCATTAAACCACAATTAGTAATAACAATCCAATACACCTGTATACTTGTTATTAATGTGCATCTTTGAAATGCCAATGCAATGCACTTGTATACTTGTTATTAATGCACATCTTTGGAATGCTAATGCAATGCACCTATATTATTATTATTATTATTATTATTATTATTATTATTATTATTATTACAAATCCCCCTTTTTTAATTAATTAATAATTATAGATGCATCAATAAATACCAATCCAATGTGTCAAAATTGATCAATTCTAGATCTTCCAAAATGTGCCACATGGCGAACAACCTGCATAGGTATTCATGGCGATATATTAATACAAATCCCATTTTTTTAATTAATTAATAATTATAGATGCATCAATAAATACCAATCCAACGTGTCAAGATAGAGCAATTTGATTGGCTTGTCAATCCAATGTGTCAAAATTGAGCAATTCTAGATCTTTTAAAATGTGCCACATGACGAACAACCAGCATGGGTATTCATGGCGAACAACCAGCATGGGTATTCATGAATCTTAAAGTTAAAAATATCTCACTAAACCACACATCCAACGTGGCAAGAGAGAACAATTCTAGAGCTCCAAAATAAACCAATTTTAGAGCTGAAAAAAAAACAAAAAAAAAAAAAAACGTGTACTATGTGTCACTCAAATATGTATGCTTTTACCTTTGTATTTGGAATACCAATTTAGTAATTAATATTTCTCTACAACATCACCAATAAAATTCAACCACATGGCAACCACAAATCCTATGTGTCAAAATGGAACAATTCTATGAGTTCCAAAACGTGCAACATGGCGAACAACCAGCATAGGTATTCAGCTTTATATATACAGTAAAACCTTTCTATAGTCATAATGTTGGGACTAACTAATTTTATTACTATAAAGAGGTTATAACTTAATGGAGGTGTAGTTACAAAAATTATAGTTTTGATTTCTTATTTTATAATTCATGTTTTAGTAGTACAATATTAGGATTTCAATTCATATTTTAGTAATATTAGGATTTCAATACAGCATTTTAATTACCTACTTTTGAAACAGATAAAAGATCGTTTCTTAGAACAAACAAAAATAAGTGTTATTGATGGAACTGTAAATACAGTTGATGTATGGTAAATTGATGTGAAGCCACAGACAATTATCAATGGTTTTAAGCACTGCAAAATTAGGACCACTAATGTCAATGAATTTTAAGTTACAAACGAAGTGGATGAGGAGAATAAGAGAGTCACCATAGAATTGAGTGATCAGATTCGACAAATTCACTACACTATTCGAATGGATATTAATTTCTTCTTTGATTATCCAAATGAGCAACAAATTGTATATACTTTAACCAAAGAAGAAATCATTGTTGCAATTAAACAATAAGAGAAAGGAAATAATCCTAAGGATAATAGTACGGAAATACAAAATGTCTTGTGCCATGAAGCTCTAAACATGGTTGAGAAACTAAAAATATTTTAGCTTCAACAAGAAGGTATCCATACTAACGAACTATTACGTACTCGTAAGGTAAAAGATGTGATTACAACTCTAAAATATAAATCATTGTCCCAAACAATTTTAAATAAATATTTTATTTAATTTTATACCTTTAATTTTATATAACATATTTTTTTTTTGTAATATATAGATAATTATTACTTTGTAGAGATAACTTTCCTTAAGGCGAGAATTAGAAAAATTATAACTTATTACAATGTAGAGTTTATTCTTATTTATAACTATCCTAAATTGAGACTAAAATTTTTTATGACT